ACCTGAAAATCACAAGCTCCGCCTCCGGGACCTCACCTGCCACGCACCTGTCACGCACCTGCCACACACCTGCCGCGCACCCAGGGTCAAAGGTCTTCAAATGTCTCGTAAAGATTGAGTGTGAACGAGCAGACGGAAGGCCAGGTTGTCGTCGCCAGACGCCATCTTGAGGACTCGTCTGTCACTTTTACAAAAACTAGTCAAATAAATCCTCTGAGTCTAAATGAAAGTTTTGTTTGTTCTTCACACGAGCTCCTTGGGGTCAAAGGTCAAATCAAAGGGTGACATCAGAGATGGCGTCCGTCGGCGGCGCCGCGTTCTGGGTCGTCTGTTTGTTGCGACGGCGGTTCGGAGGCTCCGCCCCTGCGCTCGGTAAAGCCCTTGTGTCTTGGGATATTGCACGCTGCGTTTCGATTGGCCTGTGAGGCGAGAGGGGCGGGGCCTCCTTCACACCGCGTCGGTGTTGGGGTCAAAGGTCAAAGGTTAAACTGGACATGACTTTTGAACTTTTAGATTTTTAAACTTTTGTTTCTTAGAGAGAAAAACGTTCATGACGAACGTGAACCTAAAGTCTGAGCTCTGGCAGCGTTTGAAGCCTCTGACCCACTGCGGCCCGTGGCGGCCTTTGGTGGGCGCCATCGGGCGCGGGCGGGCGCCGGCGGGAGCTGTTGGGCGCAGGCAGGTGCTGGTGGGCGCCGGCGGGCGCTGGCGTGTTTTGGCGTCGGAGAAACGAGCCGTAGAAACGCGGGGAAGCTGGCGCTCCTGGCTCCGCCGTGACGCCGCAGCGCCGCGGCGATGCCCGGAGCGGCCGGAATATTTTCGTTTTTACAAAATGGAGGGAAGCACTTTCCTCAGAGGCGCCGTGGGCGGAGCCTCTGCGACGGGAGCTGAAGACGGACAGGTCTGCGCCGCGGAATGAGCCAATCAGAGCGCAGGATTCACCGTGACATCAGCACATCGCCGATCGGCACGTTTCAACGTTTAAAGAGAAGGATATGTTTAAAAAAAAAAAAATGTACAAAAACAAGAAATAAAAATCAATAATAAATATATAAATAAATACATGAAACATTTGTACAATCCACACGAGCATAAAGTTTAAGTTTATATATATGTTTATATATATATATATAGAGCTCTGAAACATTTGTACAGTGATTTTCAAAATAAAAGTGCAAATCAAACGTTGGAGATAAATCAAAGTGTAACGGCGTGTGAATCGAGGGCTGTGATTGGTCGCTCAGAGCGGCGTCGGCGAGTGGACTGAGCCGCGTTAATCGTGTCTCTGGCGTCGGCGCGTCGGTCCGGGAGGCGTGGCCTGCGGTGAACGGTGGCGGCCAAATCTCTTGGATTTCTACATAGACATGCAGTGGTTTTTTAATCTTTAAGATATTTACAATAATTACAGCACACGAAGGATCCGGGTCATTGGACAAAACTGCGAGCATTCCATATTCAGTACGAGAAGAACAAAAGGTGTGGGCACCTCCAAAGAACGCTTCACAACAACATCTCCGCTCCAAACTCTCCAACACTGATTCAAACAACAATACTGTCCACGGCCCCGCCCACGCGGCGCCGCGGCCCCTCCCGCGGGGGGCGTGGCCCCTCCCACGCGGCGCCGCGGGTCAGCTGGAGACTCAGGAAGATCCAAACCATCACAGACTCGCTCAGGCCCAACCGGAGGAACTCAGGTCAAGTCCAGATTAACAGTGAAACTCAAGCTGTTTTTAAAGTTTCAGTGTTTCAAAGAATCATGGAAATCCTAAAGTTGGCCTCCGTTTGGACTGAACCGTCTGCGACCGCCAGACCGTCTGCGACCGGCAGACCGTCTGCGACCGGCAGACCGTCTGCGACCGCCAGACCGTCTGCGACCGCAGACCGTCTGCGACCGGCAGACCGTCTGCGACCGGCAGACCGTCTGCGACCGCCAGACCGTCTGCGAGGCTGAGTCCGTCTGTGATGGTGAGACCGTCTGCCGCACTCTCTTTTACACATAAATATTTCATCTTTTGTGATTTGGAAACCTCTGGGTGTGTGTGCGCTCGGGGCGACTCGGCAGATTGACACGACGGGTCTGACCTGAGTGAATCTGCTCGAGTCGTCCTGACGATTTATAGGCAAAACAAAATGAAAGCACATAAATGTCTCCGCTGGACCGCGGCGGCACGGGCCACGGCGGCGCGGGCCACGGCGGCGCGGGCCACGGCGGCGCGCGGCCACGGCGGGCGCGGCCACGGCGGCGTGTGCCGTAAACCGGCGTTGTGCTATTCTTTCACACGTGATGAGGAACGCTTTGGCTCGGAGCGAACACTCAGACTGGTCCAGGATCAGTGGAACTTTTGGAGTATTCGAGTAAATTCGGGACTTCGGGGCGACAGGAAGGGAGGCATGCGGCGACACGATACTGAGCCCCAGGAAACGCCCCGCCTGGCGCGGCGAGGGGGCGGATCTACCTTCAGTCTGCAGATGATCCTCACACACAGACACACCCACCCTCTCCTCCTATTGGTCCGCCTCTGTCGGGCTCTGAGTGAGTGACAGCTGGGTTTAACCAATCACAGTGAAGTGTGCACTCTCAGATGAAGCGTGTGGACCTCGTGAAGGCGACTTAAAGCTTTAACGCGGAACATGACGGCGCGGAGGAGGAGGAGGAGCCCGGGGCGTCATTTGGCGTAAATATAAAAAATAGAAGAAGGATTAATCATGAAGAAGGACGTGACGATATGACAGAAGCAAACGGCGCCCCCTCTGGTCAAACTCAACCTGCACTTTCAAATTCACAAAAAAAAGTATTTTACAATATTTAGGCAGAAATCGTCCTCGAGCTGTTTTTGAGTCGCTGATGCATAGACACAAATACCTTTAGAAACGTGAAAATACTACGTCACATTTATCCTCCGCTTTAACCTTTGTCCAGGAAAAGTTGAGGCGAAACGTCGAAACTTCTGCTGCGGACGCGGCGAGCGGCGGCGCAGAGTTCAGACTCCGCCTCGGGGTTCGGTTTGGAGCGAAACAGGAAGTCGAGACTTGAACTAATTTGTCAGAAATTACTCGTGTTAGCGGCGCGGCTAACACGGGGTCAGAGGGTAAAGTGCACAAACCGGACTTTACAAAAACAGCTTCATGCAAACGACGCTTCACATGCCTTTATTATAATCACCAAGGTCACGCTGGGGTCACGCTGGGGTCGCGCTGGGGTCACGCTGGGGTCACGCTGGGGTCACGCTGGGGTCACGCTGGGGTCGCGCAGTGGGGGGAGGAAGACAGGACTCTCTGGGAACGTCTCATCACAAACAGTAAGAGTTAGCGTTAGCTGGTGCTACGGTGACCTCATCAACAACCAACGAGCGGCGACTGAAACCGCCGCAAACAACCGCAAACATCCGCAAACATCCGCAAACATCCAGAAACATCCGGAAACAACCGGAAACAACCAGAAAACTGAACCTAAACCCCCCAAACCCAGAGAAAACCACCAGTACGAGAGCCGAGGACAACGGCGAGTCTGGGGAAGGCAGAAACTACAGCAAACCAGATCATTGTCCCGGTCCAGATCCGGTCCAGGTCTGGTCCGGGTCAGGTCCGGGTCTGGTCTTGGTCCAGTTCTGTTTTCAGTGTTCCTTTGAAATCACAGACTTGAAAAGAATCAGATTTTTATTGCGTTCAATTTATTGCATTTTGTTTGTAAAATGGTTTTAGGACTCAGCGCCTCTGCCTTCCCCGCGCACCAGGACCATTCCCGACCGCGTCTCCACGACCACGATCATGACCGGGATCACAACCGGGATCACGGCCAGAATCACGACCATGATCCCGACCGTGATCACGGCGAGGATCACGGCGAGGATCACGGGTTCTACAGGTTCTACAGGAGCTTTTGTGAAATCGATGAGTCTTTTTACGGAGAAATGCGGAACAAATTTTTACGTTTTACGACCAGCGGCAAAAAGCACCGACTCCACAAACACGAGACAGCGGAACGTTCACAACACCTACGGAACGCCGCCGCCGAGGAGAACGCCGTCGCCCCGAGGAGAGAACGCCGTCGCCCCGAGGAGAACAGCATCACTCGAGAAGGACGCCAACTTGGAATGGTCCAGAAAAATACATCACATCACTGGGGCCGGACACACAGACTTCGGACCTGGTTCGGACCTGTTCATAGAAAACGGCGTCCTGTTTTGCGTCTGACCTCAGCAGCCGCGCCGCATCACTGGGCAGCACAAAGATGGCCCCCGCGTCTCCTCAGAGCGGCGCTAACCGTCACGCGGGCTAACGCGGCATGCTAACAGCACTACAAGCTAACGGTACGAGCTAACGGAAACCGAAACTGAAACTACGGCACCACGGACGACAAACTTTCCCCGTAAAATCGAACGGAACGATGAGGCGGACGAGCGCGGCGTCCTCGTTGGCTCCGGCGGCGGGCGGGAGGAGGCGGGGCCGGTCGGAGTTGCATAGATGGACCGCCCACTTCCTCCTCGGCCTTCGGGACTTCCTGCCTCCCTTCCTTAGTCCCTCCCCTCGCGGCGTTTGAGCTGTGGTCATTGGTTATCGATCGGGTGATTGACAGGAGCGAGCGGCCAATCGGAGCGGGTTCTGTGGGGCCGCAAGAGATCCGAGGGACGCCAGAACCTGCCGGAGACATTCCCCCCGCGCGGAACCACGACGGGACGATCAGGGGTCGAAGGGGAAGAGGAAGAGGAAGATGGCACTCAAGAATTTAAATCCATTTGGCAAAACAGAAACTAGAGAATTCGAGGTGAGTCTGAAAGTTTGAGGTCGCGGCGAGGAGGAGGGGCTGTGTGGGAGGGTCTGTGGGGGGAGGGGCTGTGGGGGGGGGGCCGTGGGAGGGGCCTTGAGGGGGGAGGGGTTCCTGGCGGCGATGGCGTCCCTCTGATGTCTGGCGACGCTCGCGGGGACTTTCTCTTTCTTCAGAGACTCCAGAAAAACAAAGCAAAACGAAATGGTGGCGTGGAACATAAACGCGGCGAGTAAAACCAAAATGGCGGCGGTGAATATTATGGGATGTGTTTGTGTCTGCTTAAACCCCGCCCACTCCCTGTGATCTGATCTGTGATTGGGTAACTCGTCCTAGCTGATTTGCATGTTGCGATTCAAGTTTCTGTGTGGTCGATGTAGTTGTTGTTGTTTGTTGTTTTCTCTGCTGGTTGCCGGGTGACGGTTGCCGAGGCGACGGTTGCCGGGCAAGGTCGTTGGCGGCGGCGGCGGTCGTCACGGCGGCGGGGGGCGGGTCTTAGAAGCCCAGCGTTCCTCCGATGGTCGAGGCCAAAACCACGCCCAGGATCACACAGCAGATTATGATCATGATCTTCTTCTGCAGAGACGCACACGCAAACGCACAAGTGTGGGTTAGACGCACAACACAACACACAAACGCACAACTATATACACACAACCTCATACACACGCACACACACGAGGGTTAGACGCACAACACAACACACAAACGCACAACTATATACACACAACCTCATACACACGCACACACACGAGGGTTAGACGCACAACACAACACACAAACGCACAACTATATACACACAACCTCATACACACGCACACACACGAGGGTTAGACGCACAACACAACACACAAACGCACAACTATATACACACAACCTCATACACACGCACACACACGAGGGTTAGACGCACAACACAACACACAAACGCACAACTATATACACACAACCTCATACACACGCACACACACGGGTTAGACGCACAACACAACACACAAACGCACAACTATATACACACAACCTCATACACACGCACACACACGAGGGTTAGACGCACAACACAACACACAAACGCACAACTATATACACACAACCTCATACACACGCACACACATGAGGGTTAGACGCACAACACAACACACAAACACACAACTATATACACACAACCTCATACACACGCACACACACGAGGGTTAGACGCACAACACGCACACAAACACACAACTATATACACACAACCTCATACACACGCACACACACGAGGGTTAGACGCACAACACAACACACAAACGCACAACTATATACACACAACCTCATACACACGCACACACACAAGGGTTAGACACACAACACGCACACAAACACACAACTATATACACACAACCTCATACACACGCACACACACGAGGGGTTAGACGCACAACACAGACACACACACACAACACAATGCACACATCCACACAACCTCATACACACAACCTCACACACATGCACGCGCAAGGGGTGAGATGCACAACACAACGCACATTCGGTCGGGTCCATTTGGGTCCGGTTGGGTCCGGTCGGGTGTTATGGTCTGGTCCGGTCGGGTCTGGTCCAGTCGGGTGTTATGGTCCTTTCAGGTCCTTTCGGGTCTGGTCGGGTCCGGTCCGGTCGGGTCTGGTCGGGTCCAGTCAGGTCCGGTCGGGTCTGGTACGGTGTTATGGTCCGGTCCGTTCTGGTCTGTTCGAGTCGGGTCCGGTCGGGTCCGGTCGGGTCGGGTCCGGTCGGGTCCGGTCGGGTCCGGTCGGGTCCGGTTGGGTCCGGTTGGGTCTGGTACGGTGTTATGGTCTGGTCCGTTCTGGTCTGTTCGAGTCCGGTCGGGTGCAATCGGGTCCATTCGAGTCCGGTCGGGTCTGGTCGGGTCTGTTCGGGTCTGGTCTTGTCCGGTCTGTTCGGGTCTGGTCAGGTCTGGTCTGGTGTTATGGTCCGGTCGGGTCCAGTCGGTTGTTATGGTCCGGTCCGTTCTGGTCTGTTCGAGTCGGGTCCGGTCGGGTCCGTTCGGGTCCGTTCGGGTCCATTTGGGTCCGTTCGAGTCCGGTCCGGTCGGGTCTGTTCGGATCCGTTCGAGTCCGGTCCGGTCGGGTTCGGTCGGGTCCGGTCTGGTGTTACCTTGCGGGCCTGGCTCTGGTACTTGACGGCCTTCTTGGTGTCGGAAACGGCTCGTTCCACATAATCCACCGAGTGCTCCACGTTATACTCGATTCTGTCAATCATCTCCCCCTGAAACACAAACGCACAAACACATCACAACAGACGCACAAACGCATCACAACAGACGCACAAACGCATCACAACAGACGCACAAACGCATCACAACAGACGCACAAACGCATCACAACAGACGCACAAACACATCACAAGAGGTGTGCAGAGTTGCGTGTACAGTTGTGTTGTTGTACAGTTGTGTGTAGAGTTGTGTGTTGTATAGTTGAGTGTGTAGTTGTGTGTTGTATAGTTGAGTGTTGTATAGTTGTGTGTGTAGCTGTGTGTGTAGTTGTGTGTATAGTTGTGTATACAGTTGTGTGTTGTATAGTTGTGTGTGTGTGTAGAGTTGTGTGTGTGTGTGTGTGTGTGTGTGTGTGTGTGTGTGTGTGTGTGTGTGTAGTGTGTGTGTGTGTGTGTGTAGTGTGTGTGTGTGTGTGTGTGTGTGTGTGTGTGTGTAGTTGTGTGTGTGTGTGTGTGTGTGTGTGTGT